GTGCCTATAAAGAATGTCAAAAACGGAGCTCGTATGCGAAAGTTATGGATTTTAGAAGTTCGGGGCACAAAAATCGAAAAATTTCGCATGAATAGTGCCCGGACACGTCACTCGCACGCAGCAGCAGTGTCATCGGAGATGTGGCCGAACCGAGAAGCTTCACATGTCGCGAGCTAATTGGACCGAGGTGCGAGCCAATCCGGATCCGACATGCGCTTCGCTACCGAGCTGCTTCGCTGCTTGCTTCCGACGCGCGTTCTGCCCTGATTCGCCGAAGCCGAGGTCTAGCAGGAGCGAGACACGCCTCGCCTATCAGCCTCGAAGCCGAACCTCGCATCCGAGCCTCTCTCTCGCACCACCTGCTTCGCTCCGCTGCTGCCACCGAGCTTCGCCTCTTAGCCGACATCCGAACCTCGGCCCTATATAAAGGGGCCTGCGAACCCTCCCACCTAAAATGAGAAAATTTCCATTTTTCACCCCTAAATCCATATATTCACTATTTTGACTTTTCCCGAAGCCCCGATATCATTTTAAATCCCGAAACACGTCCCGAGACCCCCGAGAAGCCCGGAAAATTTTATCTTTTCGGTTTTGAATCCCTACCTTCGCAGAGCCCGGTTTTCAAACAAACTCCCGGTTTTCAACATAGAAAGGTATATTTAAAGCCGAAGTGCTGTCCAAATTACTATTTTAACCCCCGGTTAACTTAAGGTGAGTTCAATATATAGAAACAATTGTATGTTATGTGTTATATGTGCTATGTGCTTTTCAGTATTATCATTCTGAGTTATTTTCTCGTGTTATTCGCTATGTTTATAGCAATTGTAATACCTTTGACCATGTGATCAGTGAAAGGACTTAGATTCACATTGGTACTGGTATGTAGCCTCTGGCCATGTAGAGCATGTCTCCGTAAGAGAATGACTTCTATTCTATGGCATTGGTATATGGTTAGACAGGACTATAAGCCTGAAATCTAACAAGATGTTAATCAGAAATTTCATGTCTTCTATGCCAATTGGGCCAAAGCTTTATTGATGTATATCAAGAATTGAAAAGAATATCTTTGAATAATGTCTTTGATTGATATGAACGCTTGTTACATGATCTCACATACATCTTGTTGTTCCTCTTTACCTTGTCACATTGAAGTGTATATATATATATATATATATATATATATATATATATATATATATATATATATATATATATATATATATATATATAGAATCAAGATCAAATAAGAAGGAAATTTTTGGTAGGAAGGTAAGAAGTTTTTTTTCTACATATTTTTTTCGCGAACAAACAAAATGAATCATTAGATGATTCATTTGTAAGATGATTCACAAGAAAAAATTCTCAAAAAAACATCTCGATGATTCATTTATACAATGATTTTGTTGTTATTCACTAAAATTATCATAAAAATGAATTTTTTCTTAATTTACTTAAAAATGAATCATAAAGATGTTTTTTTGGGAATTTTTTCTTATGAATCATCTTACAAATGAATCATCTAGTGATTCATTTATTTTGTTCGTCAAAAAAATATGTAGAAAAAAAACTTCTTACCTTCCTACCAAAAAAAATTTCTTACCGGATCTATATATATATATATATATATATATATATATATATATATATATATATATATATATATATATATATATATATATATATATATATGGCATGACATTATATTGTATCTATTTTTGAACTCACTAAGCATCACCGCTTACCCTATCAATGTTTAACAATTGCAGGTGATAAATAAATAGTATGTTAACATACTAATGAAAGATGTAGAATAGTTTGTAATAGTACTTTTGTAATACTTTTTATGTTTGTATAAATTAAAATATCCTGGGTAGTTATGTAATATATATAACACTTTGTAATAGAAGGTTTGTATCCAATAGTTTGTAAATCCTTTATATCAATGTAAAATATTGCTTTTATGAATATGCAAATAGCATGTTTTGGAGTAATGATAATGTGAAATATGAATGTTTGGGTCTTTCAAAAATACGAAAGTTGGGGTCTTTCAAAAAACATATGAAACATTGCTATGTTCTGGATAAGGCAGTGTATGGTCTGAAACAAGCTCCTCATGCATGGTATGAAACTCTAAATTCTTTCCTTAAGCAATCAAAATTCAAACAAGGTTTGGTTGACTCAACCTTCTTTTGCAAGAAAGATGGTAACCATTTAATGATCGTTCAAATTTATGCTGATGAAATTATATTCGGATCCACTAATTCTAAATTAATAGTTGAATTCCGAAAACTAATGGAAACTAAATTTGAAATGAGTTCAATGGGACCAATTAACTTTTTCCTTGGTTTAAACATTAGACAGGGCTCAAAGGGAATTTCCATCAACCAAGAAGCCTACACAATGATCTTGCTTGCTAAATTCGGAATGGTGCCAGACTCAAAGGTCAAGGTTCTAATGGCATTAGAAATGAAACTTGCTCCATAATTGGACAAACCTGCAGCTGATATTACATTATATCGCCGAATGATTGGATATCTAATGTATCTAACATCGAGTCATCCTGATATTATGGTTGTTGTATGTATTGTGCCAGATTTCATGAAAATCCCCATGAACCTCATATGGTTGCTGTAAAGAACATATTTCGATTCCTCATAATTACAAAATCTCTTGGAATATGGTATCCATCTAATTTGGGATTCCTTGTGTAAGCTTATTCCGACATTGATCTAGGGGGATGTGGCCTTGATCGTAAAAGCACTTCTGCAGGATTTTAGTTTTTGGGCGTCAAGCATATTAGTTGGAAATCGAAGAAGTAGACATGTGTACCCTTATAGACTGCTGAAGCAGAATACTTAGCAGCATCATCTTGTACATCCTAATTAGAATGGATTTAGAACCAGCTCAAAGACTATGGAAAATAACATGAAGAGAATTCCTCTTTATTGTGATTCCGAAAGTGCTATAAGAATTTGCCACAATCCATCGCAACACTCCAGGATAAAGCATATTGCATTTAGATACCACTTCATAAAGGATCACATTGAGAATGGTAATGTTAGAGTTCATTTTGTTAGATCCACAGATCAGTTGGCTGACATCTTCACAATGGCCTTTCTTAAAGCTATGTTCAATCGAATTTTACAAGGGCTAGGAATGATTGAAGCGGACTTAGTTCCAAAATCCTCTTCGTAATTGGAATTTAGTGTTCATGTTCCGAATGGTTTCGAGCTTCAGAATGTTTCAAAATTCATTTTTCTAATTTTGATTGGTTTCGAGCTTCGAAATGGTTCAGAATCTATTGTTCATTGGGGTATTGGAATGATTTCTATCCTTCATGCATTAAGTCCATTCCAATTGGTTCCGAACTTCGGAATGCTTCGATTCTACTGTTCATCCACATTTCAGAACAATGTATATCCTTTTTCATATTAAGTCTCTTTTCACTGGTTCTGAGCTTCAGAATGATTTAGAAGTTGCTGTTCATTTAAGTTTCTGAATTCTTTTGTCTTAGTTATTTTTCTTTAATTCTGCTTTACCTTTTTCAGAGAATCCAAATCTCAAAATTATTTTTCTTTATTTATGTTTTATCTTTATCAGAAAATCCAAATCTCAAAAATATTTTTCTTTATTTCTATTTTATCTTTTTCAGAAAATCAAAAATCTCAAAAATATTTTTTCATAAAATAAAAAATACAAATATATTTTATTTGTTTCTATATATTCTTTCAAAACTCAAAATCCCAAAAACATCTTTCTTTTAAGAAGCTAACGTTCTCTTGTCAGGATAATGTTCTCCATTTTCTCAATTCAAAAGGATGGGTCATGTATGATTTTGAAACTATGTACTAGCTAAACGTCCCTAGAAGCATGTTGTTGCATGTTGTCCCAAGCGTATTAGACTCTATGTTTGAAGCCTTAGTGAAACTTCCATTCCGATCGTTTCTTCCCAGTAAGGCTATCTAATCACATAAGTCATAAAGCTACCTTATTCTTCTCACATTGAGTTAAGAGTTTGCGGCTTAGTCATTTCTTTATCTCAAATGTACAATATATTCTTTGGAACCAATCTATACAATTTCTCGTTCAATTTCGTGTTCATAAATATAAAAATTGAGAATATTAGCAATTACCACTGAGTTTTATGGTTACACAACATCTGTGTTCATGATCTTAAAATCGCTATCACCAGGATTTTGAGTGAAACCCAAAAATATGAATCCTACTCCTGAATTGACGGTGAACAATTAAATCTTATAAATATTTTCACCAAGGATTTGATGCATAAAACCTTTTTGGTTGTACCGTTCGCAGTCTGAAATCTCAATTTTCTTTTTGAGTGATCTTAATGAAATGCACTCGACCTAAGACATTTCTTCCCAATAAGATCCTTTTTTTTTTTTTTTTTGAGATTTTCATCATATCCAGTTACTTAAAGAGAAATCAAAGCTTAGTTGTTCTTATGGCTTCATTGGTCAAACAAGTACTTCTTTCAGATCTTCGTACATATGTCAAAATTCGAAATTTGGTTGAAGCATAAGCCACCCTTAAATCCTATTAGAAGAAACCTTTCACAATTTCTTAATAAAGTGGTGATCGTAATTCAATGGGATACCACTTCAGAGTCTCTCTTGACTCAGAAAGAAGAGATTATTTCTCAGGATCCATCTGATTTTCATTTCAGTCTTATTTGACATCACATAATCACTAAAGTTAGCATTGCTTTATTTCTTTATCTTTGGCACACTCTTGCAAAAAAATCGTTTTGATTTTTCAAAGTCTAGTTCTGATTCTGAATGATTTTTCAAAGTCTCTAAGCAGGTGAATTATATGATGATTCTGAATGTGTCAATATCGAAACGACAGTTTCTTGGAGATGAAAGACCAAATCATGTGCGAGTTTCGAATTCCATGACAAGACGTGTGACTGTTACAATGGCATCTGACACCGTGGATGAGTTGTCACGCTTTTATAGGCTAAAATTATGGTGTACATGAATATGGAAAGACGGTTTTCTCTCACCACTAATCACACACCATATAAAAGGGGTTTTGACGGTTCAATTTCTCTAACTGCAAACACAATTTTCAAAGCCTCAAAGCAAAAGCCCCTAAAAGCTCTTTATTGTTCATCGTCTTCCTCAAACACTTCAATGGAAGGATCATCTGAGCACATCTCATTCGCTGACCAATCTGCCTCTATCATCATGCTCGCTGTAAAGCATGGCCAAAACATGATCTTAGATCTCGATCCCTTGCGCTATAATGAATTTCTCCGACCGATTATTGAATATCTCAAGTTCTCGCCACTGTCCCAAGCATTAACCATGGTAGAATCTGTTCATCTCTCCAAGACTTACTTATCAGCAATCTACAACAAGGCAGATGATATCATCCACTTCGAGGTTGCATCTCACAAGACCTAGATCACTAAGCTCCCCTTTAGCAAGCTTGTAAGGCTTTTACTTTTTTGGACTTGTGGATCCAGAATCGATTCCAACCAGTGCCCTAATTGAGATGTTTTATTAGATAGGTTGCATTGGGGATATCTCCTTATTGTCCAAGATCAGGAAACCCTTCCTTCCCCCAATGTGGAATGGGTTGTTCACTCTCCTGTTCAACAGTTTCTTGAAGAGGGTTGTAGGATCCAATAGTGCGAGCAAACTGTTGTAGACCCTCATATATGGTCTATACATAGCGTGAAACTAGACTATGGTTCATTTATTTTGAATCAAATTATCCAAAGCACTGTGTCCACCTCTCGTCAGACATAGATTTTGTGTGCAAGATTTTGGTCTATTATGGTTAATCGGGCCCTAGGTCACTCCAAAGTTCCAATAATGTCTGATTATGTTATGGCAGCAATTCCGACACTTCAAACTTCTACGTTTGTGATGTCCAATCCCAGGAATTTGAACTTTACTGGGTTCATTCTGGAAGAAATGTTGGTCAAGGCTCCTTCTGATAATACTGTTGTGAACACATATTGGAGTTTTCCATCATTTGGGGTTCATCCAATTCCAGATGAATTACGAAACGTGATCGATGAAGGCAACAAACCGAAAAAGGGAACCAAAATAAAGGCGAATTGCTCCTTCTGAAATAGTTAAGGCTCCAAAGAATATGAAGAAGCAAGCTAAGAAACTGAGATATCCATCTCCGGTCATTCAGGGTGATTCGAACTCCAAATCTATTATAGAAGTTCGGGAGGACGACATAAACCGAAACGAGGTGGAAGACAATATTGCCACTTTGGAACCAGCCCCAACAAAACCACTTCCGAAGGTATCTTCTCCTCCGTCCTCAAACTGTTCCCACTTCTGATATCTTTCAAGAACCAATTCTGAATTTTCATTGATGCTTCATCCCCAATACCTATTACTCCACCAGCCTCACGCATCACTTTCACAATTACGATTTCATTAATCCCACCTTTCCCACCAGTAAGTTCTATTGGAATTTCTCTTCCTTAGATCTCCATCTCTTTAACCTCCACAATCTTTACTTATTCAAACTCTCTAACAACATCATCTGTTTCTAGACCACTGGAGATCCGATCATCAAGTTCGTTCTGGAGGCGACTGGGACTTTAGAAATTTATATCAACGCATCTGATTCGAGGGTAAATGTAAAGATTGGTGTGACTTTGGGTCAAGGTACTACTCTAAATTCTCTTTTCAATGAGGCGGAAGACATTTTATTTGGAGATGATCAGGAGACTATCAGATTTTGTGTTCAGCCCCATTCTATCAACCTCAACCGTGATGATGATGATGCCCCAATGACAAAAGGGCAGTTCAAGGAGCTTAAAGAAAAGTTGGATTCTCTTTTAGAATCTTCCACATCTACATCTTCATCTAAGTTTGAATATATGCTGACACCTCATAAAGCTACTATTGAGTTGATCAATACTACAAATGCCAAAGTCCTTGATGAAGCAACCAAAACCATTCAAGCCTCTGAGAATACCATCTCAGAATCGACCGTAAAATTCAAAAAACTATGTCAAGAGGTGACTGAATTTATGGCTGAATTTACAACGTCGTTTGACTCAAATTAACGACGACGTGAACAAAGTAATAGCAGGATTTTGTAATTCTTTACAAGCTGAGAAGGAGGCACTCTTGGTTGTATGTTCTGCAATCAAAGTCTATAATGCTAAACTTAACGCCTATGTTCTCTCCAAAATTGAAATGATGCAACAAGACTTGGAAGCTAAAAACAACATCATGGATCAGTTTGGTGAGAAAACTCAGAAGGCCAAGGTCCTTTCTATAAAAACTGAAGAATGATACCAATCAAGTTGTTGATCATGAAAACGAGCAAACAATCGTCAAAAACTTTGTTTCAGAGATCAATCAGTATCTTATGAGGCTTGTTGAGACTCGTGACTCCCTGTTCACGGTCTCGTTCGACAACATCTATCTGACAAACTTCAACAAGTCTTTGTCATGATGAATCTGACTGAAGCTGTTTCGGGAAGCGGGGTTCTTCCGAAACAAGGGTGAGACAAGGATCAACTAGTTCAACAGCCCAAGACCGAAACTGAACAGAAGGATAATGCAACTTCTGGTTCTGGAAAGGATCAAGACAAAGGCAATGGTGTTACGGAAGATGAACCTGATGAAAATCTGAAGATGACTGAATCTGAAAGTATCGCTTTGGAGAAGCATGATAAAGAGATAGATGATCTCCAAGCTCTTCGTAAGAAATTGGAAACTAAGGAAACTGAGGCTAAAAATGCGAAACTCGTGCTTGAAACTCAAAAATCGCTATTTCCTCCTTGGTCAATGGAGCGCATGCAGAAAGAAGCTATTGACAATCCCAACATCTATTGGCTTGAGCCCTCGATCTCAGTTGATCTTAATAATGATGTGGAATCTCAATTCGATTTTCCTATCACACCAAGGGAATTTCACTATCATGGTTTTGAGAACATCAAGAAGTCTTTAATTTCGGACAGTACAGTAAATCAGAAGGTGTTTTCTTTCTAATTGAAGTATGCCAACCCACAGTACAAGTCTTGGAGCTTGAAGAAGATAAGTGTATTAAGGGTTAAATTTCCTGTTTAGACCGAAGACTTTCTGAACATTCAGTTCAAGGAATTCAGTGGAGCTAATCACAATTTGGATGAGTTCACCTTGGCAGACTTGCCTTGTATGAACCCATATGACTGAATCTCTTTGTTCAACATCCTTCTGAAAGATGAAATGAAATACAAGCCTATCATAGCGCATTTGAAAAAAATGCTCATTTGTTACATCCTCGAAATTGCTAAGATGGATGTGGAAAGTGCATCCGTTCTGAAAAAGAGGTCGATCTTGAAGGTAGAAGAGTAATCGAAGGATCTTCAAAAGCTGAGAGTTGGGCTTATCAGAAAAGAGCATTGGAGAGTTGTTTACAACAGAAAGGAAGGAGAATTAGTTCATAAGAGCATGTTATTTCTAAAAGACAAACATCTTATTCTAGATCTCCTCTGAAGTCTATTCTCTCTATGGCTGAAGCTTGCAAAGTGAACACTTCTGCTGACCTCAAATGCTTCTCGGATATGATAAGATGGTACCTGGTTTTCCGAACCTCGTTTCGGAGGTTAATGCATAAATTATTAAATAAGAAGAGAAGACAATGAATACGCTCATTCTGAATTTGACACAAAGGGGGTGATTGTTAGGTCTAGAATGTATTGTGTCAAATCTATGTGTTATAGTTTTGTATAACTCTGAAATGGGGTTGTCCAGGTTTGGAGCTACTAGTTAGTGTAGTCTATAAATAGTTCATGCATGTAACATTTTTGGGTTATGTTTTTTGAAAACCCTAAACGTCGTTGAACGCTCTTACATAGAAGTTCCATCTTTGAGAACTCTTTTTGAGCTGTTTGAATCTAATCCTTTGGCATATTTTTGATCATTGTCTCTTGTCTTTTATTCACGTCTTTAATATAGAATCTATTAGCCATCCTGTTTTATTGTTCCTACATTTTGTTATGTTTATTAGTATAAAGTTTATCATTGTTTTAAAAAATATTTAGTTTATATAATTAAATTTGTTACACGTTACAGCATAAGGGTCTTTTTTTCTTGGCTTGACATGTGCATTTGAATCCTCAGGAACAACCCTGAAATTATGTGCACATGCAAACTAAAGAACTTATTTTAATGATAATAAATGTTTAAAAAAAGTATTTATTGCACTTACAATGTCAACTCAAATCATTCAGTAATCTCTTATGATTACAAAAAATTAGATGTACTTATAGTGACGTTGACCAAGATTACAGTCCTGAGCCAATGGGCCTTTTTTCAGGCTACTATAAAGCCAAAATAGATTTCTAAAATTGTACGAACTGTATAGAAGGGTATTAAATTTTAGAACTAGTATGCATAATATTGAAGCCTTCATGAACAAAACTTCAGAATATCTAATTGGAGATGCACTTCTTCTATTCTGAATATGTTCAACCTATCCTGAAACCAACTTTGTATATTACTCAATATTGAAGTTGATATTATGATTTGACACAAATCCTAAACCATGCCCTTTGAAATTCTACCACCTTCAGAATTATTTTCCCTTTGTAATTTAACTCCATGTCTAAAACATCTTCCTACTTGGAGGATAGTCGACAACTTATGTTGTCGTCTCAAACATATGTTCACTACATGATATGATTTGGTGTACACCATGATGTACATCAAACTACCAACAACTAATATGTAAAGGGCCTTTATAATTTCTTACTTTCCCTCTTTATTTTTTAGGGATTGAATCTTCGAGAGTTTTAAGTGGCCCCCAAGAGGCGTACTTATGGCATTCTCATATACCATATTAAATTTCATTAAGTTTTAGTATACTCGAAGCTTTGTGTAACATTCCGTTTAAAATCAATAAAATAAATAATGAACTCTAAAGCCTCGAGATGTAATCATTATTATTATTTTGTATAATGGTAGCCAAGTTCAATAATATTTAGCAGGGTGTTGGTTTCGAGGAACCAAATGATATAATTTTGGATTTTGGGGGTTAAAAGTGTAAGTTCCAGATTTAATTTGAAAAGGATTTCAGAAGTCAGGGTGTGTTTAGTAATTAATGGATTTAAATTGAACATATTTGAAGGCTTAGGAGGCTGAAGGATAAATATTGAAGTTATATTGAGAAGTTTTGGTGGAGTAGGGGCCAAAATTGTAAAAACAGATTGAAGTTTGTAAAGGACACGGGTTTAGACCTGGTGCTCATTTCCTTCCTGCTTCAAGTGGTGATGTCGACTGACCCTAACCCTAGTGTATCTCTTTCATCAGCCACCACCAAGGTGAGACTCCTCAGTCGCCGCTCACTTCACTAAGCCCGACCGCCACTCCTTCCGACTACTACCTCGCCAATGATCGCCGCCGCAACAACCCCGACTACCAAAGATGCCATGAGCAATAGT